CCCGACGGCCTCTGCCCTGCGGCCGGGGCGGGCCTGGGGCCGGGGGCGGTGGACGGGATGCGGGCACGTGACCCAGGCTGCGCTGTCCAGCGGCTGCGGCCAGGGCGGAGGGGTGGTGACAGGGTGCAGGTGGCTTCCCGAGGGAAGCTGCTGGCTTCGCCTGGTACCAGGGCCACTCTTGGGCCCTGGGGACCCAGGGGAGGGGCCCCACACAGCCCGGGGAAGTTGAGAAGGCCACTGGGTCACAGGTTTAGCCGCGTTTTCCTCGTCGGTTACCTTTCAAAGGGGCTCATGTCTGCACTGTCATATAATGGACCCAACAGCATTCATCAGTCCAAGGGCAGATAGCAAAGTGAATGTCCCCGGCAAGTCTACTTTTGGACCAAATCTGGTAAACAGTCAGTATCAAATAGGTGTATATAGTGCAGAACAAGTATTTGTGGGACTGTTTCATTTCAACCATGCGTATTAGGACAATAGAGGTCAAAAGATACCCCCTCCAAATAGGCCCTAGTAAAATAAATGTCAAAATTTTAATCGAAAAATTGAATGTGTAACCTCCAGGGGTCTTATTCCTCTTCATCAGAATTTCATTGGTTTGTCCCTGCCATCAAAACTTATAATTAAGACAGTGGTGATCAGGGAAAAGGGCTTTAAATATTTTATGGGTTATGGATATAACCTGTCAGCAACAGTGTTTATTACTAATCATTTTAATTAATCAACAGTGATTGAGTGCCTACTACGTGCCAGGCACTGTGCTAGATGCTGAGAACACCAAAGTGACTCCAGAGATGTCCCAGCCCTTAAAACGCTGGAGGGCTGGCTGGCCTGTGGCTTAGCGGTTAAGTGCACGTGCTCCGCTGCTGGCGGCGCAGCTTCGGATCCCGGGCAGCACCAGGGCACCGCTTCTCAGGCCATGCTGAGGCTGTGTCCCACATACAGCAACTAGAAGGATGTGCAACTATGACATACAACTATCTACTGGGGCTTTGGGGAAAAAAAAAGGA